GCATTTCAGCAGTAAAGGCTCCACAAGCATCTTGCAAGTTTTTTGAAACTGTCTTGGAGCTGCACATATTTCTTTTGTGTGACTTCAGCAGAAAACAGTTTTATGCATTCCATCTGGTGGTCTTACAGGCCCTCCTTACCTATCCTCTCTCCTGACCAGTCACTCAACAGTTCCTTGTNATACTATTAGCTGGCAGACTCACTCACTCATTCATTCATTCATTCATTCATTGTTGGAGAAGGTGGGTTTCCCCAAGCACCAGTTATTGGACCACTGGGCATCCCCCTTTAATTTCTACTGTCTCCATACTTTACCGGTACTGGTGCCTGTTATCAGCCCCTTTCTGCCAGCGAGGTCGGCCCTCTACTGGCAGTGGTATCTGTAATTAGTCCCTTTCTGTCAGCTATGTCGGTCCTCATCTGGCAGTGGTACCTAATACTTTCCCCATCTACCGGAAGCATTGGAAACTACTTGGGCGGGAAAATTTGCCTAATTTAGCTCAGAGGTCTCCCAGAGACATGAGATTCTTTTACGTGCCATAAATTTATGACACGGGACCCACGGCTTAAAGTCCCTCCCGGAGGACTTGTTCCCTGAAAATTCCTTAAAAATTCCACGACCTCCGCCTGGTTTGAACCTGCATACCTTGAGTCATGAGGTGGGAACGTTACGCCTAGACTACGGAGGCCGCTTGGCAGACTCATTAGTATTATACATTTCATATTCAATCAAAGTTTTCTATTGACCATAAATGCATATTACGCTAATTAAATTTGCATTGGTGTTTTTTAATATTCTTTCTTGGCCTGGAATATACTGCCATCAGTAACTATTTTCTGTCTATAAAGCAAGGTTTTCAAAATCTTTCCTTTAAGTTTCATGTACTCAAATTGGTCAAGTGCTATGGAAGAAACTTGGAATTTTCTACATTATGCCTTCTGTTTGGACCAATTGTTTGCAGCAATATCTGCAATCAAATATATCAATTTATTCATCTGTTCTACCATGACTTTTTGATATCATCATTCTGTCTTATTCTCAATTCTTCAAAATAACTTTGCTTTTGGGAGCCCTACATTAACACTGCTATCCTCAAATGTCTAATTCTTTAAAGTAACCTTGCTTTCAGAATCCCTTTGTTAACACTTCCAATTTCAGTCTCCAAACACCCCATATACAGAAAACATGCAACATACTTATAATCAGCAAGTAATGAGATAAAATTATTGCTGCATGTTGCAATCTGAAATAGTGGATATGTCTGTGAAATACTAGAGTGCTTCTGAGGGAAGCCTCAAGAAGCACAATCTATGCAACTACAAAATCTAAACTGAAATAGCTGTCAGTGTTATAACCCATACAGAGGATGTTCAGAAATTTCTAACAAACATATTGTGATGTATTTGTGCTATGCAGGGCACCCCCTCCCCCGCCAGCAGTGACGTAACAGTGTTGCCGCAGCTACGGTAACAGGCCAGTCAACACTCCGCCCCCCTCCCCCGCGGTGACGTAACAGCACTTCCCACTGTCACATAACAGGGGGCACCGCTGTAACACGAGGCAACAGCAAACGGTATAAAAAGCCGGCTGAGAAGTTATATAGAGTGTGTGATCAGGAGTGACACAGTGCGGATCGTGAAGTCGCCGAGTGCATCAGAGAGTTAAAATGTACCAGCCATGGGAGACAGTTGAATGCTTTTGCCGAGATGTAGTTGAACAGCAATTGAGATAGGGAATTGTATAGGATTAAGATTGTACAAGTATAAGTGTGGAGTGAATGTGCAATAAATTCGCTAGATCCAAGAAGGCGTGACAATATGGTTCAGCATTTGGAATTGAACTTTGTCATGTTAAACAGAAGGCTGTCATACTATGGCAGTGATAGGGTACATTAGGTAACAGCTAAAAAATAAGTTATGTTAAAATATATGTTTACACAACTTTCATCTGGGGCAAACTGGTAAGTTCTACCAGTATTTGATGAATTTCAAGCTTAATGTGAATATGTTAACATACCATATTTGTATATACTTTTGTATGCAAAATCTGGGATACCAAAGAATTAACTGATATATGAAAAATACACATATCTAAACAATGTATTACAAGCCTTGAAAAGTCAGTACAATAGCAGGTGACATAGTTGCTTTCATGACACTATTAAATTTATATACCAAAAATAAATATTTTGTGTTGATAACCTGAATAACACAGAAACTAATATAATCCTCATAGAAAATTCAATGGAATATCACTTCATTTGTTTTCATTTACATATCAAATAGAGTTTAAACGTATCATTAAGTTTAAAATGCCATCAGAGAGGCAAGACTGCAGTAACGCATAATATTATAAAATGAATTTCTTTTATATCTTCATCCACTAACCCATTTCTTCCTTTGTTTTCTCCTGGAGTCCTTCCTCATCTCTTTTACTTGTCTGTCTTAACATCACTCCTCTCCCTTTTTCTTCCTCCCTCTCCTTTACATTTTCACTTTATGTATACATCATATAAAGCATTTATAATTATGGAAGTAGTGAAAGTATATACATATGGTATTGAATGATGCATCAAGACCAATGATAAACACTACCAATCACAATGACATTAATTACATCCTCTGTTAAGTGGAAAATGTAAGATCACATTTTCCTTGAGTTCTGCATCCTCCATGAGCACAAATATATATCAAATAACCTTCAGGCATAACATTTTCACCAACCTTGACCATTGGTATACCAAAAGTTGACTTACACTGCTCAGATTTCTGGTCAACTTAATACTTCTGCTAGAAGCTGTAACGGAACTGTAGCTACAACTGACATTCTCATTCAAATTGGACACAAGGAGGATGTAATTAGGACTTTCCACAAAAGGTGACAGAAGCAAAAATATCTTTCTTTCAAGTGCATGTTCATCTTATGGTCACGCCATGCTTATCTACCAATGTATTGTTACATCTGAAGCCTCTGCATTCATATCTTCTTTCATATCTGTCACTTCCCAATTCTTCTTTCAGATTTAGAATAAAACCTGAATTGGGACACATATTTCTAGTACTACTGAGCACAGGTGTATTTCGAATATATTAGCAAATTGGGAATATCACTTTGCCTAAAGACCTGAATTTAGTTTTATGTTTCAAGTTAAACATTATTTTACACTGTCTAGAGGATTTTTGTTATCAATTACTTTTTTAAAGATTTAATTAAATTAAGTTGAGCACGTTGAATGTCTGTCTTCATACCTTATGAAACTGTGCACCTATATTGTCATCCACATTATCTGATTCCTCGTCCTTTACTTATTGCATGTCAATGGAGTGGGTTATGCTGTTAGTACAAGGGAGAGTAAGTAAATATGCCACAGATGGAAGTAAAACAACTGTAATGGATGTAACAGGCTTTCTATGTGTATCACCAGGTAGCAGCACAGTCCACCTTCATGACAGTCTAGGCAATGGATGGGCATGCACAACTTCAGAGGCTGGTATCAGTAGTCAAAATGATGACCATGCTTGAGAGTATCCTACCGAAGAGCAGAATTCCGTTCTGCGATTTTTGTGGGCAACAGGACTTAATGCAAAGGATATTTATATTCAACAATCTTTCAATAAGCTTGCAATAACAACTTAACTCTTAGCTGCCCTTCTTCTTTTCTGGAGGGTTAATGACACTGCGTCTAGATTATACAGTGTTGGATGTCAAAAAAGAATGAGGAATTCAAGAGGATCTGGAAGCATGTGTTTGTGTCCTAACTGAGGTACTATCTTGGCATTTATTTGGAGGAACTGAGAAAACCATGAAAAACCTTGATTCTAACAGAAGGTCTTCTGACTGAGATTTGAACCGACCATCTCCCAATTACAAATCTAGAGTGTTACCTCTAGATCAACATGTTTGCTGATGAACAATATTTTAAGTTTTAATGAAGATGAACCTGACATATGAAATGCTGTGAATGGTATACTGTATGTGACTGACTCAGAATTCCTCAGAGAGACAAATCTAAATTTATAATCAATGCAAGAGGAAATTCCCACAAATGTGTGTACTGGAGTGATAATAACTTATAATAGGTGATACAATTGCGGCTTAATGTTCGAGGGGAATTAAACTGGGCCATCATATGCCAAGAAGGTCTAATCAGATGGTACTATAACAATGTTGTTTCTGTAAACTACAGCCATCCCTAAACTTGAACAAGGTCACAATTTAAGCAAAGTAATTTTGGAGCAGAAAGGAGCTCTGCCCCATTACGGTAACAATGTTCACTCACTTCTCCAAGGGAACCTCTCACAACCAATAAGAGATGTACTATGAAAGTCTCCAGTCTCCTGACATTATGTCTTATGATTATTCTCCATGCAGGTTCCATAAAGACAGAACAAACACAATAGACCCTGCAATGTCCACCAAATGTAGGATCTGATTAGGTAAGATAAAACTAACCCTGCAACAGGCCGTGGAGACTGCCACATTTTCTAGACAACTGGCTCATAGATGGTAGTGAGGTTGTAAACCTCATGAGCTGGTCACCATTTATCCCCCAGGAAGATTCCTAGTATTCAGCCTGAGTCGACTCCTGGGTTATAGTGTGGATGGAAGGATTAGGTCAACAGACAAGTCCCATGTCCTCATCAGGAATCGAACCTGCAACCTTCTGACATGTAGCATAGCGCCTCAACCAACTATGCTACTGTATCCCCCTGATTTTTACAGCCAGACTACATAACCCACAAAATTACTAAACTACTGTCGCAAACCTTCAGATCCACAAGTTCAGAGCTAATAGATACTGAGTCTTGACAGCATATAATACATATGGAAAGTCTTCACTTCTACATAAGCAAGCGCCACATTATAGAGCCTGAAATGTTTGAGGCCCATCAGTTTCTCTGTACAAACAAGTTATTGTTTTTAAATGAATTCAAGATGAGAGCACATGTAATGCAGCAAACATGCAGCCATGCAGCACAATGATAATGCCATCAACTTACTGGAAGACTGCTTTCATCTCTTTGTTGTGCGCTGTCAACAAGCAGAACCTGAGGTTCAGTCTTGATCCGTTTATGTTCCGGTGGTTTTCCTGTATCATTTGTAGATTCAGTACTTGCATTGTTTTCTGTAGAATTGCTGTCTTCCCCTACTGTTACTTCTTGTGACAATGATTCATCTACATCCTACATAATAAAGATAATCTTCAGGCACAGCTGGATGCATTTAACAACAGGAAGGGCACAAGTTTTTATTCTGTCATCCCTGAAATTTTTTGGATGATGTGATAGTACTGTAATGAGGATCTGTGAATTCTACTAGAACTTAGTTTCTCTTCACTTATTAGTCCTATCCCCAAAATTAAATCTATGGCCCTGATTTGAAAATATATTATAACACACAGAAAACCAAGAAGCCTCCAACTTATAAAGATTAAAAACTCTAGCTCACCAGGACATGAGGAGGAAAGAGACTGCAAAGAGAGAAGTATTCTCCAAAGAGGATTAGATGCAGACTTTGTTAAAAGCAGATATATGTTGTAGAGAGAGCGGGACATTATACAGTTTTTAAATGGAATTCCTGATTTAAACTCATGACCAAGGAAGAGGCATGAAACTACAATAGGCTGTAGATATACCTCTTCATAAGAAAGAATTACTTCTCAAAACTGTCTCCAAATAGAAGTTCAGAATATGCCCAACAAACAACATATTTACCATAGCTAAGGCAAAGTACACTAACAAAATCTATATATAACAGATTTTAGAGCATACACTTTTTTTTTTACTTTTTATAAAAGTTATTTTCATGCAACATTCTCAAAGCAATGTTCAAGATTTACAATTCCATTTATTTTTGCTTTACTTAAAATGTTATGGCTGCATTGGATACATGCAAAGATGAGATGGGCAGGGCATGTAGCATGAATGGGGGAGAAGAGGAATGCATAAAGGATAGTTTGGAAAGCCAGAAGGAAAGAGGCCACTGGGAAGACCAAGACATAAGTAGGTGAACAATATTAAAATGAACCTTAGAGAGATAGGATGGTATGGTGCATTACATTGATCTGGCTCAGGATAGGGACCAATGGAGGGCTCTTGTGAACACGGTAATGAAACGTTGGGTTCCATAAAATGCTGAGAAGTTCTTGAGTGGCTACACAATTGGCAGCTTCTCAAGAAGGGCTCAGCTCCATGAGTGAGAGTGTGTGACTGGATATATGATACCAGATAACACAAACTGCAACATACCGTATTTACGCATGTATAGGCTGCGTGCGTGTATAGGCCGCAGCACAATTTTCAGACAGAAATTATAGAAAAAATAATTTTCTTGGAATATTATTTCAGGAGTAGAACACCCTGTATTACTAATTATGATTATAATTTTTTTTAAATGAAGTGTGATTTCGAATATAAGCTGCACCCCAGTTTTCCTCTTGAATTTTTGGCAAAAAATGTGCAGCCTATACATGCGTAAATACGGTAAGTTACTGCTTGAGTAAATAATGGTAGGGAAAAACATGACTTATTATTATACACTGTCACGGTACTACCAAACTGTTTTTATCCTACATGTCTTCCCTTCATAATCTTAAATGAAATACTTTTCTTCAAAAAAGGCAGAGCAGTCCTAAATGCAAGTATACTGCATAAACTTTACATGCCTAATATAGTTAAATATAATCTATGGCTTTGGTATAAAAAATTCAGTAATGCTTGCATGGTTGCATCCAGTATGTACTAAGGTCAACCCAATAACTTTCTGAGGAACTTTGTCATGTATGTACATCACATATACAGTAGTAAAATTGAGCAACGCCAATCCTCCACTTCCTGTGGTTATTTACATGTCATGTAAGACTCCCATATTTTCTAAATAATCAGATCACAGATGGTGACGCCCTCTACCCCCAGGAACATTCCTGATAGTCATTTCTGTTAAGAGAATGAGTCGACCCATGGGCCATAGTCCAGTCAGATGGATTAGGTCAAATGAAAAATCCAATGACTTCACCAGGAATCGAACACATGACCTTTTCTAGGTTATTTAATTGCTGTGTAACATGTGCAGAGGTTTAGCATCAACTAAGATGGAAAGCTAGTGAAAAGGATATGGTAGAAAGTAGTCATGTGTATTTCAAGTTACTTTCCTGGAAGAACAAAGGAACTGATAAAAAACCTCACATAATACAGTCAGTTCCCAGCAGATTCGAATACCTTCTGAATGCAATGAATCAACCAGTGCCATGGTGAAAAAAACAGCAGTGACATAAACACATACTTACAGTAACTAATACAATATGAATAGAGATATGAAATTCATGTCTGCTCAGTATTTCTCTGACTGAAAGTAATGTATTTTAACAGAAAATTAATTATGGCACACTGATGGGATTGACATCAAAATAGCTTGTAACAGGTAAAATGAAAAAGTATATCCATTAAAGCTTAATACTAAACCAGAAGGAAATAGGAGAGTGGGAAGACCAAGGTTAAGATGGGAAGAATGTGTGTGGCAGGACATAAGAATTTTGGGTGTAAAGAACTGGAGGAATGTAACATTGAATAGAGAAGAATGGCGAGCAATCCTGAGGAAGGCTAGGGCTCACAAAGGGCTGTCATGCCAGTGATGAGGATGATGATGATATCTATTAAAGAAGCCCTGATCAGTTTTAAGAGTACCTCATAAAGTTAGAACTTCAATGCCTGGTATGCAAAAATGACAGTAAGAGCACAAACAAAATAAAAAGAACTGAATCAGAAAAGTTTAGCTGTCAATCATAATTCATTTATTCAACAAATTCCCTTTTCTTACTGAACCTGACAGTTCAACATCATCATGAAAAACGATCAATACTCAAATTTTAGCCATTTCAGGCTCACTCAAATCCCATCTATATCTCAGTCTTCATAGTGGTCTCTCTCCACAAGGTTTCTCAATAGAAACTGTGCATGTACTTTATTTCTCCAAAATGCGACACACGACCCACCTACTAAAATGAACCTACCTGATTTAATCACCTTAACACCACAAAGTGGGGGAGTGGGGGTGTAGTGGGATTTCAATGTATAACACTCAAATGTCAATAAACTAAAATGATATGCAATCATCTTAGGGTTTCCAACAAATCACTGACCTGCGGTGGAAGAGACCAGTACTCCTCCAATCAAGTCTGTGGAGTTTCAGAATGCTAGCAAAGTTAACCAAAACAAACTCATATACACATTATAAATAAAACATTCTTAGATTGCAGTAAATGCTTTCCATTCTTTCACACATATTTCGTGCATCTTCATAAAATGTTTACATTCACGTTTCAATTCTTCTTTTGTCCAGTACTGACCCTCACTGCCCGTGAAGCTGACCACTCACCTCCAGCTGGTGCCAAGGTCAAGAAAATGTGGATCTATACATCCACTATCCCATACATCTTCATGGTGTAGTGCTTAATTAGTTAAGCACAGGGGCAACTTCACCTTACTGACCCTGGCTATCTTAATTTCTTTACAATTTTATGAACAGTTTTTCTCCATGGAACTGAAATTTATGCCGACATCTTCTTTTTACTGTCCTTATACAATCCATTTTCAGATACGCAGTGTACATGAACACTCATTCATATATACAAGGTTATTCAAAAAGAATGAACCGATTTTATTAGGCAATATTTTATTGAAGGAAAGTAATACAAAACTCCAGCTAAGTCACAAGTATTCTACTCACAATCAACTTTTATTTCCTGTCTTACAAGTGTTCAATGTGGCCACCACCTGCAGCACGAGCAACATCAATGAGATAAGAGAATTACTCCCAGGCGCGTATCAGCATATCACGATGCACTGAGTTAATCACTGTTGTTATTCGATGTTTAAGGTCATCGAGGTTAGTGGGTAGTGGTGGAACATAAACGTGATCTTTTACATATCCTCACAAGAAGAAATCACACATGGTGAGGTCTGGGGATCTCACAGGCCAAGCACAAAGAGCAAGGTCTTGGGCCCCCTTCCGACCAATCCATCGCTGGGCCACTTTTTCATTTAAAAAAGCTCGGACCATCAGGTGCCAATGGGGCGGCGCTCCATCTTGTTGAAAAATGAAGTCATGCGAATCTGCTTGCAGTGAAGTGAAGAGCCAGTTTTGGAGCATATCGAGATAGGTTTGTCCTGTAACAGTGTTTCCTTCAAAGAAAAAGGCACCATAAACCTTGTCCTGAGACATAGCACAGAAGACGTTCACCTTAGGGTAATCTCTTTCGTGCTCAACTGTTTCATGTGGGTGTGCTGTTCCCCAAATACACACATTGTGACAATTGACTGTACCGCTCAAGTGAAAAGTCGCTTCATTACTAAAAATTAAACGTGAAATGAAGGTTTCGTCTTCCATCATCTCCAGCATCAAATCGCAAAATTCCATCCGCTTCCTTTAGTTGTCACTGGTAAGTGCCTGAAAGAGCTGCAGTCTGTATGGTTTCAAATGTAGACGTACTGTTAGCACACGCCAGACAGTGGACTGAGGGATCGCAAGCTCACGGCTAGCTCGATTTGTTGACTTCCGTGGGCTCCTCTCAAACGCAGCACGGATTCTCGCCACTTGTTCCTCCGAAACTCGTGGTCGTCCTGGACTTTTTCCTTTACACAGACACCCACTCTCTTGAAACTGTCGAAACCACCGTCAAATGTTCTTAGAACAGGGCGGATTAGTGCCGAATCGCCTTTGAAAAGCACGCTGCACCGTGACAACCAAATTTGTTTTCGTGAACTTGAGAACACAACGCCTTTTGTTCAGACTCATCATTCTGAGGGTAAATGAACAACTGAACGCTGCCGGAAGAACGACGTGACTTCAGCGCCCCTGTGGCAGCCACTCACAACTTGGATAACTCCTCTTTCAAATAGTCATTAACTCATTCCATGACAATGCTCGAGAACTGAAGCAATGCGTCATGAAATCGGTTCATTCTTTTTGAATAACCCTGTATATATACACACTGAAGTGCCAAAAATCATGGGATAGGTACCTAGTATCGTGTACGACCCCCTCTGGCCCGGCGAAATGCAGCAACTCATCATGGCATCGATTCCACAAGTGGATGGAAGACCTCTGGAGAGATGTTGAGCCATGCCGTCTGGATAGCCGCCCACAGCTCCCTGGTATTTGTAGGTGCAGAATTTTGGGTGCAAATGGACCTCTCCTCCACATTCCATAAATGCTCAATTGGGTTCATGTTGGGTGAACGTGGTGGCCACACCATTCGTTGGAACTCTCCAGAATGCTCCTCAAACCAATTCTGGACAACTCCGGCCCGATGACACGGTGCATTGTCCTGCTGGAATATCCAATCCTTGTGGGAGTACATGAAGTCCATGAAGGGCTGAAAATGGTCAGCAAGCAGTGTAATGTAGTGGTCACCAGTCGATGATGTGTTTAGGTGGACGAGCGGACCCAACTCATGCCACATGAACACACCCCACACCAGTATGGAACCACCACCAGCCTGCACGGTGTCTTGTTGACAACTGGGGTCCATGGCCTCATGGGCTGTGCCACACCCAAACCCTACCATCCATCGAAACAACTGGTACCGTGACTTATCGGACCACGCCACATGTTGCCAATCCTCCAGGGTCCAATTTGCGATGTCACAAGCCCAGGTGAGGCGCTGTGTCCGGTGTCTTGGTGTTAACAGAGGCACCCTGGCCAGTCTTCTGCTCCCATATCCCATGGAAGCTAAAGAACGCTGCGCTGACCTGCTGGATATGCGTCTGGTACCTCCTGCACCGAATGTGGATGTGATTTCAGCCAGTGTCGCTTGTCTGTTACCACAGACAATTCTAGCTAGATGCCGCTGGTCACGATCATTAAGCACCCGTGGTCGACCACTGCGCTGTCCACAGTGGGTGGAAATGCCTTCCACAAAGTATTCCTGGTACACACATGACACCGAGGATCGAGGAATGTTGAATGACTGCACAACTTCGGAAATGGAATGTCCCATCTGCCTGACACCCACTATTATGCCCCGTTCAACCTCCAATAATTCATGTTGGCTTGCCATGAGCAGATTGGCTGGTGTTCAAACTGACTCATGAGAGAACACCTCACAACTGATACTGCTCTGGGCATTCCCAAGTCATCAAGGGAGGGTGGTGCCACTTAAAAATAAATTTACATACTGCTATCCCATGACTTTTGGCACTTGAGTGTGTGTGTGTGTGTGTGTGTGTGTGTGTGTGTGTGTATATATATATATATAACTCACACATGCCATTATGACTCAGAGTATACAACTGATTGAATGACTGCTTATCACACAGGTCAAGTACAGTAAAAGAAAGTAATAGTAAAGCTATCACTGTAAGAGGCTGTTAAGGCCCATAGGGTTGTGAGACACTGGGGGTCCCACATTATCCAGACAATCGGCTCAAAGATAGTGGTAAGGTTGTCAGCCTTACGTGCCAGTCACGCTTTACTCCCCACGAAAATTATGTAATAAATTCCTGGTACTCATTTCTGTTAGAGGCTGAGTCGACCCCAGGGCCATAGTGTGGCTGAAAGGATCAGGTCAATTGAAAAGAATCCAATGACTTCATCAGGACTTGAACCCGCGACCTTCCGGCTTGTAGCATAGTGCCTCAACCAACTACACTACAGCGTGCTTCCAGTCAAGTACAGTAGCAGAGTTAAAGCAACATGGCACTTGGGGTAAGAGTTTGTTGGCACCTAACATGCAAGTTTGCTTCACAGTAGCTGTTCAGTGATTTCATTCATTCATCAGTAATCTGTCAGACGACAGGTCCACAGTCTCTTCCAAAACAGTTGCTCCACTTAATGCAATCTAGAGCTTTCTCCTTCAAATAAAAATATCCTCTTCTGTCCCCAAGGTCATCCAGCATCATTTTACGTCTTCTTCCTCGTCTTCTGGTCACTTCTATCTGCCCCTCTATCTTCACATATATGTTATCTCTGTTTTGGGAAAGAGACTATCCAGGAAAAGTGATAATGTGGTAATATTTCCATTTGCTTTCCACGTCACAGTACAACAGCTGTTCAAACCACTCTGGTCACGCCTGTTGCTATACGAACTTGAACCATCTCGAGCATAATTTGCTCTGTGCTTCAAGTCGCTGATGATGACATTGCTTCCGGCATCAGTTTTTGGTCTCTCTTCATCTGATACCTACCCTCTGACCTGTCCAGCAAGGGAGGCCCTATCGGTAGCTACACTACCACTGGTATAGCTCTCAGGGTCCTTGGCATACTCGAACCCCCTCATCACGATAAGGTGGAGACACCGAGGGGTGATTTAGATTTACTGGGTGCAAAATCAGAGAGGAGTTCTATCTTTTTGAGAAATAATACCATGTAGCCCCACTGAAAGTCAAGAGACATTTCAGGGGAACATGTCACCTACACCTTCAGGGCTGAAGAATAAGCCAACAAAGGAACCAACATGAAACAAGCAGTAATCTGGTTTCTTGCTTGGCTTACTCTTCAACTGTGAAGATGGAGGTGCCATTTCTTCCAAAATGTTGGTTCACTTTCAACGAACCACATGACATTACATCCTACAAGATACAGTTCTTCATAACCAGCACTGTGAGTACCTCAAATTCTACGCAAATAAAGAGAAATTACAATGTGTGCAGGCTCTGTTTTGTTGACCAAGCTAAAAGTCCAAATATCAATGGCACAGGTTGGTAAGAGGACTGTCTGTCTCTGCTACCTGAGCAGATTAATGATCTATGGGAGCGCTAAGATAACATTGTACTAAGGTGCACTGCTGGTAGTTCTCGCTACTTAAGTGTTACATCACCTCTCTTATGTCCAAATGTCCGTTCAGTATTTTGTTTCTGTATCTTCAAGCTTTGGTCCTTCCTCACAACTGAGAGATCACCAATGCTCCAGAATAAGTTTAAAAAAGTTCCTACACAGTACAGTGCAGGGACCCCAGACCACCACAATATTGGTACCACTTACAAATATTAAGAACAATAAGAAAGACTGAAGTATAACACTACAATATTGTTTTACTAACCTGCTGTAATAAAAGACAGTCACTTTATGACAGTTATGATGTCATAAATATACTATTACTGTTTCATTTTACAGTTATTTCTTCTTATTTTTTTGTATTGCAAGAGCCCTACAGTATCTAATTATGAATAATTTAGTAAGAAAATCCAAAGAAAAGCGATAAAGACAGTAATAAAACTAAAGCTAAATCTAACAAGCTTCACAGTGGACTCCGGGACAGATCTCTTTAGAATGCATGAAAGCACTATATTTGCCCACATTTTATATTTTGCATTACATCACCTTTGACCTTTGGGAAGATATCACCTCATGTATAGGCACAACCCTGTTTGTGAGGCCTCGGATATGTAGAGTCTCTGCGGTTTTTAAGAAACCAGGCAGCGAATCATTATTCATGGTAACTTCTCCATGATACATGAACTTCACTAGAGCTTTCAACTCCTCAAATCTGACATCTTTAAGAATCACAATAGGATGTGGATGCTCACTTTCCTGAAACAACTCCTGTAGCAAAGAAAAGCATTATTAAGCTATGTTTTCATGGAGTGAAATTATTCAGAACAGTGAAATATATTTTCAGCATATCATTGTAATTCACCCATGTTGCATTCTGAATTTGAAGAATTGTCTTCAAGTGAACATTAATCTACTAGAACTACATATGAACACATATCTGATGATAAACCTAAAACTCACTATCAATGAATAATTATGAACATTGAAAAAAAAAAATAAGAACAGACTGAGAAGTAGTTATAACCTGAAAATAACTGGAACAAGCAGAGAGAATTGCTCTGTGGGCACGTAATGAACGTCCATCACATGCTAAAGTGACATCAACAAGAAGTTCCTTCTCAAGTAGAGAGCGTAAGGCCTCAGTGAGTTGTTCTTGGTAACTACTCCACCGCAGACAAAATTCTTGGTTAGCACCCATTTCAAACAAATTATTGAACCCTTGCTGCAACAAAAATACATCACTCAGAATTAGTCTTCCAATTCATGGAATTTATATGAAAAATGAAAACAGACAATGCATGCAATCTGCGAGGAAACAAGACAGACTCATAAAATTAAATGCAATGAAAGTTTTCATAATGTGATCTGAAATCACATGTCCACTTTTATTCTACATAAGTATGACAACAACTGTATCCTGTGTAACTGTTGTCTTCTGTACAATAATACTTGTTGATAGGGCTAATTCTTTATTTTGGAGAAAGGGTATATTCACATTCACGCCTACAAAAAAAATTGGGATAATGCAAACCACATCCGAAGTGTATGCCGTGAAGTATGCTTAATTTGTTCGTTTTGGTACATTCAAAGCACATAAAATGCGAGAACTAATCACAACTTTTTCATATTATTTACACCGAGTTGTTTACATTTCTATGCACACTTGCGATACACATATACCACGGATCTTACATAATTAAACCTGATGGAATATCTCGATCTACTTCCTTCTCTATCTTCTCTATAGCACCAACGGTAATTAAAAAATCACAACAAACAGACTCCACCCACCACTTGCGTTTCCTTTTCCTAACCTTACTTTCCAGAGCCACAAGAAAAGAATATATGCAAACAATGAAGTTTCGGTACTGTTAAGTTATAACTTTCGTACTTTACATGCACTAATATTGCATCTCTCCGAATATACTTCACGAGAAATTTCGCCTGTTTATGATCAGCTGACATCAAGCAGTCATTTTGGAATACAAGAACACAATGAACTATTCCTCATAGACGCTAAGTAGGACGACTTTTGTAGCATTAGCACCTACTGAAATTAAACGCTGGTGTAATCATTACAGAGTAGTAACTGGCAGAAGCCTCAGATAATTTGTATGAAAGAAAGAACTGGGAAATTTGTGAGGATAAATTGGTATGTCTATAATTCAGTTCTCGATTTCAAAGACATGATAATGTACGTATTTCGGAGATTTAGGTTTTCACGCAGATTATGAAATATCGGTCTCAATATGATGTTATGCCATTAATAGCCAATATTACCAGACTACATGGAGTCACAGCTCACAAGACAACAGTCCAGCACATTTTAATACAATATTATTCTTGTATGATTTCGGGAGACATTCTTCAGTTCTGGGCTACTCTAATTCCGTCGTTCTTCTCTGCTACGTTAACACATCTGTGCCTGCGATCGTCACAGACACGAAACTAAAATACGTACAATACAATCATGAAATTTTCTCTTTTGCAGTGCTGTAAAATGCTTGGTTCTGTATCCCGATTCCGTGTGGTATCACTGTAGAGGTGTTTTTATCGCTCTTGTCTCTTGTCTATGCTTGCTGTGGACCCGCTCTGAACACAGATACCGTGTACTAGGACGGAAGGCACGGAAAACAACAGGGTATCAACCCATGGTGTGAATGTTACCTGCGATGCTTAATGCCAGCTTCCGTACCTTTCAGCACTATTATTATGGGCACGGGTTGGGGGTGAAGGGGGACCTGTGTGCACGAAGTCTGTCTCTCCCTGGTTGCGATTTGGAAAGGCGCAATAGGAAACTATTATATGATACATATATTGCCATTATTGTTTTCGTATGCAAGTACTTTTTGTAAGAATTTGCAACCCACGGTTAATTAGTGTTTATTATTTGCCGTGTGAGGAATGGCGTGTAATCCAGAATTGTTTCGATATGTAGTGGAAACTGTGTTCAATACTTGGACTGCTCTAAGGCTTGCCGTAGAGCATGGCATGGGTGGACCTCGAGGAAAAGAAAATGCGCTGAATTTGGTGAACCAGGTTACGGATTTATTTTGTAAAACTGATATTGAAGTAGAAGAAATTGCTGATTTTCTAGTAGAGTTTATGGACACACAGTTCCAAACTATATGCGAAGACAACTCGCCAGAGGAGGTAGCAGTTGTGTTGTGGCAGTTCTATCAACACTGTAAGTCAGGAAATCAACATCTAGTCAATTTAGAATTGAGCAGACTTCCGAAATGCGATGTATGGCTATGTAAACATCATCTGGTTAGCACTCAAGAAGAAGCAATGGACCCTGTGGACATAATCTCAAATGGACATAGTAGTAACGTCACAGCAGAAGAACATGATCCAGAATGGACACAGGTTAAAACCAGACGAAGGAGAGAACGGATGGAACAGATGTAAGAGTGTTCCATCGAGCGAAAATATGTGGTTTAGTTTCACCAATTTTTAGCAGACTGTACTCAAAATTGTAATAGTGGAAAGTATGTATCTCACAAATAAATGGTGTTTGTATAACTAATTTTGTTGTATTAATGTTTGCTCATGATTGTGACTGAGCACCTGAACTTACATTTTTGTTTTGTTTTTTTTTTCCAGCATACATACTTTGAATATTTAATTTCCAGGAAAATAACTTGGGATGTAGAATCAGTGATCTGAGTCAAAAAATTCTGCATTCCTCCAGACAGGACAAAAGATGGGCATTGATGTTTCTCAAAGTTTCGTTAATTTTGTATTAATAAATTGTTATCGTCACTGATAGTATATACAAGATACAAATTTTATTTTAAAAGTTTTGCAGAGAGACATAGTGTCAAGAGGAAGTTATGGGAAGAGCTTTCAATACTTCCTGTTGAATGTTTCAACCCACATGTTAATGCTAGCAAGAGCTGTAGATGAATAACTATACAAATTTTACATTGTATTTTAGTGAGGTAATATCAAATATATGGTGTTACATTTTGTAAAGTTTTAACTAACACAAAAGTTATATTTGGTAGCAGTTTAACAGTCTATATGTGATAATGCTTCAATTTAGCGATGCTTTTCTATGAATAAGGTCACTTGTACAAGAAACC